TACTTATAACGTTTGTAATGAAATTAATTTATACTTTAAGAATCACAGAACAACAGTTCCATTTACTGCATTTTTTTAACCATAAATTTTTTACATGTTCTGCCAGAATTATTTTCATGATTTCTTAATATTTAACACAATATCTTATAAACTTCTTATAAAACCAAATTTCTTGGTTAATAACATGGTTTGGATTAGTTTCAGCCAAAGAGAATTGTTATTGGATGTTGTAACTGTCCAAAAGGTAAATTGGGATTTTCAGACAGATGCTCTTAGCATCTGCTCAGGTTTAAGGAGTAAATAAAATAATTTTTATGATTTTTAATAATGATATATAAATATTTTAACATAGTAAGCTGGATTTTGGAGAATAATAAGGTACAAATGTTAAATAATTTTACACAATCAAAAAAAACTATACAAGTTTACTGCATAGTAAGGTCAAATATTTACAGAATAATGCCAAAATGACAGACACCAGAAAGCACCTATAACTACTATTTTGCAATAGCATTTCGTGTTACTTTGTAAAAAAAAATTGCATATGATTCTGTAACAAAGTTTGTTAATTGTAAGTCATTCCTACAAGAAAGGATCATTGTCAACTGCTTGGATGACAAAACTTGTATTATTAAGGAAATTTCAAAATTCTAGACAGGAAAAATTGATAGGATAATTCAGTAGCAGTCTTAATGATCCAAGAATATTCAACCTCAGGCAACTGAATGTAACTTATAAGCTACTGTTTTGGGTTTGAAATATTAAAATGATAAAGGCTTGTCAGCAAACACATATCTAGAGGAAACAAAGTTGAACAGTTAAGTGAAAGGGAAAGTAAGCCTATTCAGAATATAATTATTCTGAGAAAAATAACCAGTTTTATTTTGGTGAAAACTAAACATTTAGCAAATTTTTTTTCATGTATTATACCAAGCAAGTTGTTTGTTCCAAGATCTATCTCTAATATTATCAACACTGATGTCATCAAGTTGTTATCCCTCAACTAGCCTAAGGTCATATCTGTCAAAATAAAATCCAGTTAGAAGCCCTACAAATATATTAAATCTAGAGTAGAGGTAATAGCTAGATATATAAAAAATATGGTCAAAAACCTCATTTTCTACTCACCCCTGAAAACTTCTTGAAAAGCACTAGCCATGTTCCTTTGCTGAGGTAGAGTACAGTGGTTTTCTATCGACAAAATTACTGGATAACTGTATAAGAAATATTAAATCAAATATCTTGCTACATGGTTATAATTGAATGTGGTTTGTTAAGTGTCACTGAAACTGGAGGGTAAATGATTTACATGTGTGTGATTATCACAGATATTGTGAAATACCAGGTAACTGCCCATTTCTTTCATACAGATGGTTAACAAAATGGAATGATATTTAACTTCATTCAAGTAATTTTCATGTTAATATGAAAAATACTTTTCGTTATCTCAGAT